GGGGGGGTTGGGTCCCCAGCCCATGCTGATGGCGGGGCGGGGCGGGGGGCTCCTAGCCCTGCTGGGGGGTCAATCCCCATGTTCATTCAGCCCCAGCCTCCCGCACTGGGGGGTGAAGGGGAGCTGGGCCGCTCACATGGGAGGCCATTCACCCCCCACTCCAGCCCAGTCAGTGCAGGCCGGGGGCAGCCGTGCTGGGGGGCCCCCCATGGGGCACTGGGGCAGGAGGCTGGGGGCCATGAAGGAGGCGTGAAGGAACTACGCGGGAGGAAGGGGTTACATGTAGGGGTCCGGCCCCCTTGGTCTGCATGGGGGGGGCTGGGGGCAGACTATGGGGGATGGGCCCCTAGACGGGCCGTGCGCCCCCCGTGTGCATGCTGAAGTACTCGGTGTAGCCGTTGGGGGGGTGCAGCTGGGGGGCCTGTAGCTGGTACGGGGGGGGCTGGCTCTCGCCCCCCGGGGGGGGTTTCAGCAGCACGTGGGGCCTGCTCAGCTCTGACGTCGTCACCACACAGCTCGGGGTCGTGCTCCGCTCAGCCGGCGTCTCCTCCACCTGCTTACGCGCCTGGGGGGAGAGCCGGGGGGTCAGTGCTGGGGAGTGCAAGCCTGGGTATACGGGGACCCCTCCCTCGGTGCTGGGACGCGGCCCCTCTGGGGCGGGGCGGGGGGCTGGTTATACGGGGACCCCTCCCTCAGCGCTGGGACGCAGCCCATCTGGGGCGGGGCGGGGGGCTGGTTACCGGGGACCCCGCTGGGGCGGGGCAGGGGGCTGGTTATACGGGGACCCTTCCCTCGGCACTGGGACGCGGCCCCTCTGGGGCGGGGCGGGGGGCTGGTTACCGGGGACCCCGCTGGGGTGGGGCAGGGGGCTGGTTATACAGGGGTGTGGCGAACTGTGAATGTTCTTAATGTTTTCTCTGAATACTTTGTGCGTGCCTCAGTTTCCCCATGTGTTGCTTACGTATCTGGGGGGGGGGATACGGGTGTGTAGCCCTGCAGAGACCCTTCGAGGGCAGCTGTAAATACCTGGGGCACAGAGAATGGCGAACACCCTGTAACCTAGTAACCGACCCCCCCCCAGGTGTTGGGCACAGAGAATGGCGAACACCCTGTAACCTAGTAACCGACCCCCC